TCAATATCCTTCTTGAAGTGAGGGGCCCAGAACTGTACACAGTACTCGAGGTGAGGCCTCACCAGTGCTGTGTAGAGGGGGAGAATCACATCCCTACTCCTGCTGGCCACACTATTCCTTGTGGTGGGTTAAGACACAGACTCCAGGGTGCGAAGCAATGGAATTGTTTATTATGAGAAAATGCTCCCTTATATACTTTTACAGTGGGAACTGAGAATAAGCAACTGGGGAACAGAGAGTGTAAACAGCACTCATACCTGCTCCTTGGCACATACACAGTCCTTGGGTTCCCAGGATGTAGCCAATCACACACCAAGCACCCGATAAACAGTATTCTGATTTTTGTCAACATTCACAGTGCTGCTCACAGCAAGCCCTGGCCCTTAGATGGTTTCACATTGTTTTGTCTACTTCTTTACAGATAGAGGCCCCTTTTCTTTTCCCATGGCTATTCTCCACAATTCCTGATACAAGTCATGATGCCATTGGCCTTCCGGGCCACCTGGGCACACTGCTGGCTCATGTTCAACCGGCTGTCAACCAGTACTCCCTGGTCCCTCTCTGCTGGGCCCCTCTCCAGCCACTCGTCCCCCGGTCTGTAGTGTTGCATGGGTTATTGTGGCCAAAGTGCAGGACCCTGCACTTGGTCTTGTTGAATTTAATGCCACTGGCCTCGGCCCATCGACCCAGCCTGTCCAGGACCCCCTGCAGCTACTTCCTACCCTCCAGCAGATTGACACTTCTCCCCAAGTTGGTGTCATCTGCGAACTTACTAAGGGTGGACTCAATCCCCACATCCAGGTCGTCAATAAAAACGTTGAATAGGACTGGGCCCAGTACTGATCCCTGGGGGACACCGCTGGTGGCCAGATGCCAAATGGATGCAGCACCATTCACCATCACTCTCTGGGCCTGGTCATCCAACCAGTTTTTAACCCAGCAAAGGGTGTACCTGACCAAGTCGTGGATTGCTAGCTTCTCCAGGAGGATGCTGTGAGAGACTGTGTCAAAGGCCTTGCTGAAGTCGAGATAGACCACATCCACAGCCTTCCCCTCATCCACTAGGCGGGTCACCCAGACATAGAAAGAGATCGGTCAGGCAGGGCCTTCCTTTCCTAAACCCACGTTGGCTGGACCTGATCCCCTGGTTGTCTTCTACATGCCGCTTGATGGCACTCAGGATGGTCTGTTCCATAATCTTGCCAGGCACCGAGGTCAGGCTGACAGGCCTATAGTTCGCCGGGTCCTCCTTCCAGCCCTTCTTGTGGATGGGCGCCACATTGCCCAGCCTCCAGTCATCTGGGACCTCCCCGGTCAGCCAGGACTGGTGATAAATGATTGCGAGCGGCTTAGCCAGTTCTGCCAGCTCCCTCAGCACCCTAGGATGAATTCCATTCGGACCCATGGACTTACCTCTGCTTCTGTTCTTCTGTTTTTGCAACAACGGGGCATGTGCCATACGACTGGCAGTCCAAATTCCCCGACTGGTCAGACCATTGTCGAGCGTACACATGCCACTCTACAGGCAATGTTACTTAAACAAAGAAGGGGGAATATGTCTCCTCAGGAACAATTAGACAATGCTACATATACCTTACATTTTCTAAATCGCAGCCCCACACTTGAATTTTCAACACCTGTCCAATGTCATTTTCAGGGATTACCATTTTTTAGTCATTCCCCTAAGGTATGGTATAAGGATCCTTTTTCCTTGGGTCAGTGGCAAGGACCTGTAAAACTAATTACTTGGGGAAAAGGGTATGCTTGTGTTTTACTTCCAACAGGTCCAAAATGGTTACCAGCAAAACTTGTGAAACCGTACCATGAGCAACACCCCATCAACTCCAATTAATATATTTTTGGCCTATCTTGCCATTGCATTGGCTAGAAAACAATCAAGTCGTTCCCTTTAATCGTATAGTTAACTCCACTCTTGTTTGGACTGATGGGGGGATGTCAGGGCCTGTAGTTAATGCTCTTTTCCAGAATCATGTAAGTCCCTTCAAATACAAACTTAGGGACTTGGCCTTCCTGTTTTTTAAGCATAAAGTTGATCACGGACACTATAGAAATACCAGCAGGTATCAGCATGGGGGATACTCCATGAATCTTGTTAACATGAATACCAATTCAGTGATGATTTGTACCTTGCATCCTTATGTGTTATTGGCAGCATCTAATCTACAGATCACGTTCCAAAATAACATGTTTAATTTGTCAGAACACAAACCATGGTGTTTTAGCTGTATAACCCACCAAAATATCACGGATCTTAACCTGACCTGCATTATTCCACTGAGACAGAGAGCAGAACTTTGGCTACCTGTAAACATGACAAGGTCATGGGAAGGACCTTCAGAAATATGGCATTTTATTCACACTCTAGTAAATTAGTAAAATTAGCCTATCAAGTGGAGAAATTAGCTAATGCTACTGACATCAGTCTACAGTTACTTAACAGTCAAATACAAGCTATTTTAAAAATGGCTCTTCAGAACTGCATGGCACTGGACTTAATGCTGTTACAGCAAAATGGACTTTGTGGCTGCCTAAACTTCTCCAGTACAGGCTGCTGCATTCATATCCCTAATGCTACACAGGACCTCAACATCTAACTAGCGGGGATACAACAGGTGGCAAAAGACACCCGTGAACTTCAAGAGTCAATGAATGATAGCTGGCTTTCAAGGGTGTTCAGTTGGTTTGGATGTGGTGTTAGCGGTTGGATCCAAAGTTTAATCCAATATGTGCAAATGGGTATCGTAATTTGTGTTGTTATCAGATTGTCATGTGTGAAATCTATGATAACTAGATCCTTAACCATGCATCTTAAGACGCTTGAGATTTGTGATACCAACTACCTTCCTTTAACACAGTTCCCTACTGATGAGGATATGGGGGAAGCGGATAGACCCTGCAACCTAAGACCAAATTATACGATGTTCCTCTTGACGAGTTGTGACTGAGGTCACAGGGTGGATATTGTGGGAAAACAGAACTTGTATTGTGCTTAGTTTTAACTTTCTTGGAAGGACCTGTGCAGAGGAATGCGAGATGAGCAGTGCTTGTTTGGGCATTTGGCCTTGGACCCAACAAGTAGGGTAATTTATGTCTGTTAGGGAGGACAGGCCCGACTTGCTGGCTGGAGGGGATACATTGCTGTCCTTGTCTGCATGGCTGGACTGTGCATGACTTGTGAAGCAAAGCAAAGGCTCCGTGGTCAGAGGTTGTGTGATAAAGGCCAGGATCAAAGCCTGTGTGACTTCATCTGATGATTTGCATGCGATGCAAGCCCTGGGCATTAACGAAGCTTGAATTTACATGTGAAGCGAGCACTGGGCATCTCCCTTATCTTTTTCCTAATTAATACATTTAATTCATCTGTTAAGAACCAATCAGTGCACTAGTTATGACCTAAGTCCCACCTCATCAATAGGTAATAAATTAGTCTTTGCATCCTTTGCTCGAGGAGAGAAGAGCATCTCCCCTGGAATGGGTTGACAGGCCTGATCCACCCTTCCTTCCCCCAGGCAGGGACACCTCCTTGGATGAGATATCACAGCTTTCACCTTTTGGGTGGGGGTGAAAGCATCCCCGGGTGTATCGTATACTTTGCATTATTATTGCTAGCAATATTAACATCTATTAGTAGCGCTATTGTAGTCAGTGCGTTTATCAACGGCTATCTCCAACTTGTTATATCTGTCACCTTAATAAACTACCTTACATTTCTTTCTAACTACTTCGAATTTTCCACTTTGCAAATTTGTTCTTACGGCAGGCATCGCTTGAGGACACTGGGAAAGACAAGCGTTGTTAAGTGGTCGTATACATAAACACACACACAGCTTTTTGCCTTCATGCAACAGGGCTGAAACAGGCCTTCCCTTGAGAGGCTTGACATGGATTTCTTTCTTTTAAGCCTTTTTCTCTGGCTATAAGCAAGTTCCAAATCCTCCTGATTTAACAGTGTTTCCAACTTGTCCATGAGAAACCTGGAAACACATCAAAACATTTTTTGCAATATCTTGAACAGCACTTTTAATGTGCTGGCAGTTTTCAGGCACATAGTGCAACTTATCATACGTCACCATAATGACCTTGTTGTTATGTCATCGTGTCACCGTTTGACTCAGATCCGACAACAACTGTCTCTCCTATCCCCCCTCCTCCAGCCAAATCTGCATCCCTTCCAGATCCAGATACACCCTATTCAAACAAGATTTATAGTCTGTGCATAATCCCTGATGTGACTCCTGGGCACAGCATCACAGCTCTCATTCTGACCCCTTTGATTCCCACCTTCAAACCCATTATTCTCCCAACCCCTGGAAATTTTCTGCTATGTCCAGGCATGAGGGGCTTGCTTAAAGACTCTCATTTGAAATGAACTTTAAACACCCCTTGCTTGTCATATTCATATTGCTCCTGAAGTGTCTCTCACATGAATTTAATTATAGGCATTCAAACATATGCATTTGGCAGATGTTATTCCCTTACAATTCTGCCTTCAGGAAAAACAAAGTTACAGAGAGCATGGCAATTGGGAAGCTACGGGGTGAAGGGAGTGAAACACAGTGCCCAGCTTCCCTTTGGAATACCGAGGGATGGGACATGTGCAGCCCCAGCCTGCTCCCTCTCAGGGATGCAACAAGGTTTTTGACTGAGAGTGCCAAAAAATGCAAATCTATCCAACCACTAAAGCCACCTTCCAAAACAGAGGACAATGATCACATCCCTATCTCCAAGGGAAGTGCAAGCTCAGCCAAAAGTGCCTGTTCCTTTTCTCTCCCTCCCCAAACAAGCCCTTCAGCATAACAAAGAAGAGTTGTTTCTACAACTGGAAAAATAAACACAACTCAAATAAACATGCAGAATAGAAGCAAGCAAGAACGATGCTTGTTTTCTCCCCCTCCCCATCCCCTGCTGCGATACAGAACAGACTGCACATAACATGACACTGGCTGTGAATAGCCTCACTTGCTGAACACACAGGCACCTTACCTGGGATGGATGTCCACGAGCAGCACCAGGGTCTGCATAGTGATCACGTCAATCCGCTTACAGTGGAACCGTGCCACCTTCAGCACTTTTAGATACGTGAAACACAAGATTATGAGGGAGAGGAGGAAGCTGAGAGTGTGAAAGACCCCAGTGAAAATCACAAACTGTGTCCTGTCCGCTGGTCTCTTGTTGTACAGGGTGCAGGAGGCATAGAGGTGATGGAAACCCACCCAGGAGAGAGAAGCTGCCACTATCGGGAATGACACCGAGTGTAACCACGTGTAGCTCAGTATGAGAGCAGCATCTCTGTACCTCATCTTGGAGTGATAACTTAGAGGGAAGACCACAGCAATCCACCTGTCAATGCTCAAAGCTGCCATGCTCAGCATGGAGTTCGTGGTGAGAAAAGTCTCCAGGAAGCCCACAACGTGGCAGATGTGATCTCCTCCTGGTTGACTCTTGTAAATAATCCCAGCCAAGGTCAGGGGCATGTTGGACACAGTCATCAACAGGTTGCAGAAGGTGAGGTTGAGGATGAACAATCCCGGGACCTGCTTGCGGATGTCGGCGCTGTACAGGAAGCACATCAACACCAGCACGTTGGCCAGCAGGGCCACGAGCATCAGCACCACCACCACGAAAGCCAGGATCACCTCCCAGATGCTCATGGTGCGTCCAGTCACAGGAAGGACATCTCCGAAACTGCGCCGCGCCGGCACCCGGGGAACATGGTGCGAGGTGCCCTCACCTCACCCTCCTCCCCAGCCTGCTGGCCCTCCTGCATACCCTCTGGATTTTCAGAAGAGCTGCAGGATTTTTTTTTTCCCTCCAACCTCCCCCTCCTCGTTGCTCCTTTCCACGTCAACGCTTTCCGAGACGCGCACAAAAGAGCTGGGAATGCCCATCAAACTGCAAGGAGGGCTTAGGAAAAAAAAAAAGAAAGGCATCAGCAGGGCTGAACCACTGTCTCCATTCGGTCCATTCGAAGGAGAGCAGGTTATTCTGAGAAAGTGCTCTCCTGAGATCCCTAATTATCAGCCCCAAGCTTGCAAGCAATTCACCGAGTGAATTGTGCTCTTTCTCTCTTGCTTTCTCTCTCTCTCTCTCTCTCTTGCTCTTCCTCTCCCCTCCCCTCTCCTCCAACCCTCACTCCCTTCCAGGCTGAATGTAACCTGCTTTTATGATCACAGATAAAAACCCCATTAATGGATCAAGGCATGCACACTGCTGGTGATTCGCAAACGTGATTATGTCATCCCCACTCCACAACCCCTCCCCTTCCCTTTGCGACTGGGACTAGACTTTCCTCAAGAGAAATCCCATGCTTTCCTTGAATTGATTTAGCCATTAATTTGCAAACAGCCCTGTAACCAAATTCCTGCACTCCAGTGTGTTTCCTGCATTTCGGTGCATCACTTCCACAATTGCTGCTTTGCTTTCAGCCAGGGCAGGGAATTACTTTTCTCTTCATTTGCTGTGCTCGAAAAGATGGGGGAAAACAGATGCATTCTGCTACCTCTCTGGAGCTGTCATTAGGCTGGTGAAATGGTTTTACTGCACTGGTTTAGCACTTTGCAGCCCTGTGTCTCCAAACATGATGCATAGGAGGAAAACCTTTGCCTCTCCTCCTTTAAAAGCAGGGAAACCAGAGCCCCGGACACCACTGTGACATGCCCAAGGTCACAGAGCAGGTGAGTGGCAGAGACAGAAACACCCTGCTGGTCTTGAGATTCAGCCGGGCTTTCTCCCCTCCTACAGCTTTTCCTTCTTCCTAACCAAAGCCTCCCCCTCTGTGAGATCAAAACCAGGCAGCATCTCAGCAGAGGAAAAAGGAGCCAGCCCGCATCGCACATGGTTAGGTGTTCAGTTTGTTTTAAAGGAGGGAGTGGCAGCTGTTTCTTGGTTGCCTTTCCCGTCTCTTTAAAAGTTTAACAGAGAATGCTGAGAGTTTGCGAGCAACCGGAACAGCTTTCCCATCAAGGCAGCAGAGCCCTTAATCCCTGCACAATAGGAAGGCACAAGAGAGGCTGCAGCAAAGCTGCTGAGGCTCAGCAAGTGACTCCGCACTGGATGCTCGAGCAGCTGGTCACCCTGCACTGGCAGCTCCAGCCAGGGCTGCCCCAGTGCCCCAGCTCCTCCCCTCGGTAGCAGAGCTGTCACCCTGCACAGCCCCCCAGCTGGGCATGGTACTAGCAGGCCCTTTCTCTACCACTTTGCTTCCTTAAACCAAGCTTTAAAGGATGAATAACTACAAGCTCCAGGGTGGTTGGGCTGGGTGCTCGGGTCCTCCCCACACACACTTGGCTCAGGACTGTCCCTAAGCCCTGTGAGCTCCCTGTCTCCCAAACCCAGGTACATGTCCTCATGCTGGGTGATTGAGGAGGACTTCAGTGTCTGGTCCTTTCCTGAGGCAGGAAACTGAAGCCACATGAGAAAAGCTTAAAGATGGCCTCCTTTAAGGGTCTTTGCCCTCCTAGGAGAGGTAGACTGACTAGATGGAAGAGATGACACAGATCTTACTGAGTGGCACCAGAACCTCAGCAGAACCTTCCTCCTTGTTGCTTAGGAACAGCCCCAGCTGTGAAAGGTGTGAGAGCATCAATTGCCTGAGCAGGGTGTCCATGTTACAGCACCTACCATGACACCAGCTTAAAGCCCAGCAAGCAAAGACAGCTGCAGGCAATGGCAGTTGAGAAGAAAAACTGGGAAGTTTCTAAAGATGTGCAAGACTTGCTGGGAGAATGGGAAAGACATGGAAAAAGGAAGGGAAAACCTGGTGACATACAGGAGGCAGGTACACAGTGGCAGTGGTGGAAGGGAATCACATCACACACTTGGTGTCAAGGTGACAACTGACTCCTCCTTCCCACACTCAGCATCTTCCTTGGCTCAAATCAATCCTGCAAGGCCCCCAGCTGCACAAATCATTCCAAGCCCAGCAGCACAGGCAATACATAACTTAGTAATTTATCTTGCCTTCAAACACACAAGGCTATGGGTTTATCACAGTTTCCAGGAGTAAAGAAATTTATATCTGAAGGTAATGTTGAGGGATGACAGTCAGGAAAAAGTGATTCTCCCAAAGGGAGAAATGTGAAATAACAGGAAAGGAGATGGTTGCCATAGCTTTAGTCAAGACCTGGGTGACAGCTGCTCTCTGTTATTCCCCCACTACCCTCCCAGGGAAAGATAAAAAGGGGAATAAGGGAGAGAGACTTCAAGGTTGGAAAAAAAACCTAGAACAGGTTTAATGAAATACCAAGAAGCAATACAAATATATGTAAATATGGAACCTGCACTCCCTGGTTGGTAATTACTTCCTGACCAGAAAAGTCCCAAACTGGACTCAGCAGCTCCTCAGGGTGCCTGAGTCCAGGGTCCCAGTGACAGTCCTTGGAGTGACCAAGCTGATCCTACCCAAGGAGGCAGGAGAAGGTGACCTGCCCCATTGGATGATGTTCTCCAGCAAGAAGACAGGACCCAGGAGCAGCAGAACCAAGGCCAGGCAGAGCAGAGCCCTGGGAGGAGCCATTTTAAACCGGCAGCCCCGGGCAGGAGGGCAGTGATTGGCCTGTTGGGCTCACCTGAGCCCCCTCTCCTCCCCACAGGCACAGCTGCCCCTCGTCCTGCCACCTCACCAGGCTGCTGGGAGTGTTACAGGAGGACTCAGGTTAGTGTGGCAGTGGGAAGCATTAATCCTGGCTCTCTTGATCTAGGGTGACTGTTCAATGAGGTAATGATGGAATATGGGTGGTCAGATTTGGGGGTGGTACGGGATGGGTGCTGCAGTGGGTGTATTGTGAAGCTAATGTAGGGGAACCAGTAGTGGTTCCCCCAAAGTGTAGTGGAGGGCATGTCTTGAAGGCCAGAAGAAGCTGGCAGGACTGGCTGTGCTGGATCTCTTTGCTGGGGAATGGAGAAGAACAGCTGCAGGGCTGTCTAGAGGAGACCCACAGTCTCCTCTGTATGGTGTCTGAGCTCCTTCCAAGACCTGGCACCTTCCCTCCCTCCACCCAGCCTTGTTTCCCCCAGGTTGGTAGAGTGTTACTGCTGTCCATAGCAGTGTGGGAAAGCTACAGTAAGGCAGCAAGTCTGGCAGGTATTTCAGTAGTCACTGGCCTAAAGGAATGAGGCATCCCTAGTGTCCTGCCTCAAAGTTTACTGATTGCTTTGCCCTTTCCTATCAAGCTATTCTGTGTTATACAAGCTTCTGGGGCAAAGCAAACCTGGTTGTCAGTAAAGCCAAACTCCTGGTGTTTACAGGGAAAATGTAGCAGCTAAAAAGGACTTAAATCTACAACGAGCAAAAAACGCTCTCCAGATTTGAGGGTAAAGCTGAAGTTTTCTCTAGATGATTGATTTGAGACTAAGAGCATGTATGTCTGAATGCCCAAGTAATTTACATAATTCATTCCCCCATTGGTAATCCCTGCAGCTGAGGATATTTAGGGAGTGCTTCTGGATTTATTTATCATGCATACCTAGAGAGCATGATGGACCCATCAGATAGCTTCATTTTATACAAACCAGGAGGAGAGAATACATATTTTATCACTGTAGAGGACAGGAATGTGTTGCCTCTGAGCTCCTCATGGCAGGGACTGCAAGTTTGGTTTGTGGTATTTCCATGACAGAATATGTTATGAATTAGGAATAAGCAGTACTAATAAATAACAATTATCACCAGTGGACTCTGACAGAACTCGGTCTGGGTTTAGAAATTCTCCTTTGGTGTTTGCTCCATTATCAAGCACCAAAAAAACCCCCCAAAAAACAACCCCAGAACATCTCCTGTATTTTATATATCTTAAATGCAGAGGTGACTGTACAGAAGCATGGCCTGGCAGACAGAGCAGTGGGCTGGAAACCAGGAGACCTGGGTCTGATGTGACCATGGGAGCATCAGTTCACCAAACCTCTCCCATCTTTTCTTTGTCCCACAAGCTCATGGGCACAAAGACCTATGTACACAATGAAGCCCTGATCCTTGAGAGAGCCTAAAGGCCTTGTCTTTATCAAATAACAAATTTTATCCCCAAATAACTAGCTCCAGAAGGATTGCAGACATCTCTTGCCATTCATTACAATGACCTACAGTTGATGGATATGTAGCCTACACAACACATGCATACCAGTTTACCCAGACAGGGATAAGATTTGTACTGGTATTGTACCAAACAGGAAGCATATTGCAATGGTATGAAACTCCTTTAGACAACAGGTTAATTTATTACTATCCATGTGATCATTCTTATTGCATTTTTGTCTATATTTGGCAATGGACAAAGATATGAAGGGGGTTAAATCTTCAGTATTTTGTGTCTACCTTTGCATTTCAAAAATTCTACAACACAGAGATGGAAATTTTGACTTTGCTGGGATGTTCATGGAGGGTAAAAGCTTTCTCTGCACATTGTCCCACTGAGATTATGAAATATCTGCTTGGGCTAAATGAAATTTTCAAAGTTATGTCCAATATGGGGTATATGAGCTAAGAGACTATTAGGAGAGGCTATTTTGGTGACCTGACCAAAACATCTAAGGCACTCATGTCATAGGAAACTGATGTTTAACACCACTGAGAAAGCTACTTGAAAATCTAACCTGAAAATGCGTTTGAGGTCTGTTGCATTTCCTTTGTGTTGAAGGTTTTATCTCTCCAATTTTT